CATCTCTCCTTCCTTCCTTCCTTCCTTCCTTCCTTCCTTCCTTCCTTCCTTCCTTCCTTCTTCTTCTTCTTGCATTATTTGACATAGTGAAGGCCAATCTCAAAGTTCTCCAAGGATTATCCTTTGCTTTGTTTTTGTTTTTTTTGTTATGGTGTATATGTTGTTTAGATGCAAGTAAGGTTTGCCTCTTCTCTTCCATGTACCCCGGTCTGAAAAACGGGCAATGGCCTGGCCTAATTCTAAAGTAAGCTGGAGGAGTCCAAGACAGAATCACAGAGTAAATAATGAGTAGCCACAAGTCAATTCCCAGGAAAGGCAAAGTCACATTATATAAAGAGTCAGCAAACAAGGAATGTAGAGTTGAAGGAACAAAGTCAGGATCACAATAGGTCAAGTCCTACAAGACTGTTGGTTGAGTAAAAGGGAGAGAAGTAAGATGCAAAGGCTGGCATCAGGTTAAGATCTGATGCCATGACGGACAAATGTATTAGGTATGTCACCAACATAAGGAGCTAAGAAATGTCAGGCACAGATATATTGCTTCCAGCAGCAACATCTTCCAGCTACAGTTAGTGCTGGCTCCTATCCTAGGGCACAGCAATAGAGGGACAGAAGTTACTACATGTGGAGTCCCCCGAGATATTCTCTCCCACACCCTGGCCAGAATGGTCATTCTGCATGGCCATTCCTGGGGTCTTGATTTGGATTTGGATTCTGCTGAAAAGTCCTCTTTCCCTGAATGGGGTAGATCACACATGACTCCTAGAAGACCCAACTCTTCCTGGACCAGGGTTTCAAATAGGTCCTCGGAGGATCTACTTTATTCAGACTGTGTCCTTAACCCATGAGAACGTCTTCATCAAGGGACAGGTCCTACAGTACATGAAAACAGACTATGTATCACACCTTGGGTCTCTGTCACAGATACCAGCCTGAGACTGCCTGATCTGATGGCCTAACCTGTGTTGTTCGCATCTCAGCATGAATTGTCTCCCAAAAACACCTGAGTAACCCAAGGTTAAGAAGCACTGGCCTAACCTGTGTTGTTAGCATCTCGGCATGAATTGTCTCTAAGTGCACATTCCCTGCAGAATGTGTAGATCAAGACCATTGTACCTAACATTATATTGATTTATGCGTGTTTGTGTAGAATATAATATATAACCCACCAACCATGTCCACTCCCTTGATACTCATTTTCATTCCCTCTCCACCAACACACCCCAAATATTAAGTGGCCACTGAGTATGTTCTGTCCTTCTTTGGTTGTTTTGTCAGGGATTTTCCTCTTTAGCTTTTTATTTCCAAAATATCATTCCTGAGTCTGTAAAACCTGGGCTTCTCTCAAGCCTTATGATGCTTCCCTCTTGTATCTTAGTAATCTTATTTGGCTATCTACCCATCACTAGCAGCTGAGCTACACGTGCGTGTTATGTTTGTTTTCTTTAAAAGAGATAGAAGGAACTACTGGCGTGTTCATATGAGCCTTTTCACACACAAAAAGCTGGCTTTCTGACAACTTAAAAGTCCCTGAATTGAAATTATTTATATATAACTTAAATATTATAAACATCTAGGTAGGGAAATAACTCTCTTGTGAAGTACTAGGCAGGCTGATGTTGCTAAATACCTAATAGCTATTTGGTTATTAATAGTAACAGCTAAGAGCAATTTTTATCTCTTGGAATTAAATCAAATGTAACATTTTCCATTCCGTTGTAAATATATTTTTCTAGAAGAGAAGTCATGCTGAGTTCAGGAGGGCTTTTGTTCCCTGGAAGATTCTGAGTACTGTAGTCTCACAACACATTAGCATATTCTTCTCAGCACAATTTTTGTTATTGACTGATGGCAACGCTGGCCTCCCCACCATAAACAAATTGGAAGCCGTGCGGCCGACGTGAATCGGTTTTGACAGCATTCAGTTCCAATCAAGCCTCGAGTTAAATCCAGTTGGGCAAATGGCTCACTTGGGTCATATCCTGCTAACGTTGAGGTTGGGGAAAACATTGCAACAAAGCTGGAAGATTAGATTGTCTTACAAAAAAGGGGGGGGGAAGCAACATTCTTTGTATTTAAGCATTCTAATTCTAACTGAATATTCTATGGAGTGTCCAGGAGCCTTTTGTGGTATAGCAGGCGGCTAGTTTTTCTCCCATATTTTTCTCATTCTTCAATGAGGAATAAACAACATTCTTCTTAGAGGAATAATACTGAGCATAGAATATAGTCAGAATCCAGATGGATAGTTATGAACTTAACCCACGTATACAGCACAGGCTGGTTGATAACTCGGTGATAACTCTGGTTGCAGATCCAGAGGTTGGAAATTCACTTTCCCACTACGCCGCCTGGGAGAAGAGACAGCCTGTGTAGCCTTGGGCAAGCTGCACAGTCCCAGGGCACCCCCAGAAGAAAGGAAGGTTAAATCACTTCTAAGTAGTCTTCGCCTAGAAAACATTGAAAAGGATTGCCTTAAGTCGGGATCAGCTCGATGACACACAATGATTATTATTTTATACAGCACAGGAAGCCCCCAAATGATTTGGGAGAACAATTATCATTTTAAAAGGCAAAAACCTAATGTGTTAAATAAGAGCCAGTGTGTTGTGGGGTTTATAGCGCTGGCTTAGGACTCAGGAGAGAAGAGTTCAAATCCTCCTTGGCTATCACACTCATCTTGGGCCTCTCAGAGTCTCCAAATAAGATTTATCTCACACGGTTGTTCTGAAGATAAAGTGGAAATGGGAAGAAACGTATATGCCGCTTTGAGCTGATTGTAGGAAAGAAGTGATATAAGTTTAACAGATAGACAAATAAGTAACTTAGAAGTGGGGCATCTTTGGCCCAAGAATGTGATGTCACAAAGATGTCCCCATTAGGCCCAGGGAAAATCTCAAATATCCTATACCTAAAATGTCACTCTCTGCACATTTCCAAAGAAAAATCTTCTCTATAAAAGAATATAACATTTTCTCTTAAAAGAAAGAACTTCAGGGGTTCATCTGGCTTTCAAAGCTACACATTCATAACTATAGTATTCCCAAAGAAACAGCCATGTTCATCCACTACCACATTAACAAAGGCCTAACTTCCATTGACTACAGCCAGTTGGCCAGCATGTGGCCCTTCAGGCATTCCTAGAGGCCAACTACTATCAAAAAAGGAACGTGTGCTGCTTATATACCACTCTATAGTGCTTAAAGCATTCTCTGGACAGTTTACAATTTTTTTAATTAGTCAGGCTACACATTGACACACACACATATCAGCAATTTACTAAGCTCAGAAGGATGGAAGGCTGAGTTAACCTTGAGCCAACTATCTGAACCCATTGAGTTTGAACTCAATGAGCAGAGTTTTGACTGCAGTATTGCAATTTAACCGAAGGCTCTTTACTATCTCTCCTCATCTCTTCTGCCAAACCTCCTTATATCCGCTGACTCTGCCCCTCCACTCCTCTTATAGGCTCATGCAAATGAGATCCTGAATATGAGTGACAGGAGTGATGTGTGGCAATCGTCACAGTAAGAAAATGTGAATTAGCCGTGATGTGATTCAAATCCAACATACTTGGTTTGGACCCAAACCCCATTAGATCCCACTAAAATCAGTGTAAAAAAGTTGGTCATGACTGAGTCCCACTAATTTCAACTCATTAACTTAAGGGTGGAGATAATATCTTCCTTCATCATGGATGGACCATTCTGTGTAAGGCAGAGAAGGCAAGTGGAAGGCGTGGGTGGGTTTGCAGGACTTAAAGTCACAAAATGATCTAATTCTCCACACAACATATGAACTTGTCACTCAAAGTCATTACCATAAGAAATGATGGGAGTTATTTCAACTTTTATTCACCTGTCCACACAACATATGAACTTGTCACTCAAAATCATTACCATAAGAAATGATGGAAGTTATTTCAACTTTTATTCACCTCGTTAACACACACACACACACACACACACACACACACACACACTGAGTGTATGCTAAGTGAATTCTGAGATATTTCTGTATCCATGGGAATGCAGTTAGCAATAGGTTTGGGGTTTAGCGTACAAGTCTTGTAGTCTCTCAGTCTACTAAATACTTTCCTAACAACCAACGGACAACCAGAAAACATCATTTGTGCTGCTAGACATCATTGTTTTCCAGAAATTAGCAGGATACTTTTTTAAATCCAGATACATAAATTTGGCCTGAACCAAAAAAATCCCAGTGACTAAAAGCGACCTATTTGAAAGGACAGCGCTTGTTCTAGCCATCTCATTTTGTGGTTGATGATGATTTTTTTTAAAAAAAGAGGCTCAAGGGTGATGGGAAGACTATATATAGCAGGTGGCTGAAATTCGGTGACATTGTTTAGTTCATCTCCCTAATGAATTCTATCTCCCCCATTAAGAGGAATCAGAGTAAATCTCTGTACTAGCTCCAGGCTGGCATAGCTGATCCAGGTTCATAGAATCAGAATGGCCTTTGCATCCATCAGATCCAGAACTTTCTACCCCACTATGCCCAATTCCAGGGCTTTGCTATACCAGCATCCACTGATAAGAAGACTGCTGAATAATTTCCTCATCCCTCTTCCATGCTGGCTGGAAGATTCTGGAAGCCATAG